CAAAAAAAAAAAAAAAAAAAAAAAAGACAATTTTTGTACCAAATTTATTAGGGGTTTGATTTTGTTTGTACTTCTTGTAATAATTAATTGAAGAATATGGCTAATGGACAATTTCACCCTTACCTTATACCAAATTAGAACGTCTGTCAGGGGTATAACAGTAATTAAGTTAGGGTAGATTAGTGGATGCTAATTACTTGTTTTTGTGGTTAAAGCTAATCTTAATTTTGTTTGGATAATATTAATCTACAAGATTAAAAATAATAATAATAATAAATCTGAACAAAACATTATTATTTAAAAAGATGGATTAAATTTTTTTTAATAAGATTTAAAATGTTAATTTGTAAAATATTTATTTATTTATTTTCAAATATTAAATTAAAATTTGTGACTCGATTTCAATTTTAATCGTAAAACAAAAATAATTATAAAATAAAAATAAATATATGTGTATAATTATATTTTAAGCAATTTTTTTTAAGTTCAACTCAAACTAATTTTAAAATAACATATAAACTAATTTAATCCCAAATAAATTGATAAACTAATTCGAATCATACAAGTTGGATTGAGTTGAATTTGATTGGTCTAATTTTTATTGTTAATATATTTTTTAAACGCTCTAATAATAATTCTACGTATCTTATTTAAATTTGAGTCTTTTTTATATTTAAATATTATAATGAGAATGACGTGTATATAAATTTATATTGTGAACGAGGAATGAGGAAGGAAGTTTTCCACTACTCGAATCTTTGACTAAATATATTATTATAAAAAAAAATTAACTTAATTTTATATCTGATACATTTACGAGTTCAAATAAACGTTAAATAATAAATTAAAAGTTTAAATATTATTAACACTGAGATAAAAAATGTATTTTCTTTCCATTCATAAATTTTTATTAAAAAACAATTTAAAAATGTTTTGAATTGTATTTATTTATATTAAAAAAGTAAATGTGAAAGGGGGTATAATGGTAATTAGGGAAATTAGGTGGAATAAAAATGACCCAACAAATTGATTAGCCACATGGACATAAAGTAGCGATTAACGGTTAATAATTTATTGTTTTTGTCGAAAAGGTTAGCTTATAATTAATTATATTTATGTGTGGATGTTATAATCTTGAGTAGGCCAACACAACAACAAAAAAAAAACCTAGCTCAATAATGTCGAATTCATAATATGTTTTATTTATTATTATTATTATTTTAAAATAAAATTGATTCAAATTAAAATCGTAATTAATATAAAAAATTTGGATATAATCGTTCCTAAACCATTTTTGTCCATATATTTATCAGTAAAAAATTATAATTTTTTAATGTATATATATATGGACGAAGAAAATTGGACCTAGCCCAAAAATAAAATAAAGGTGAAATGTCGTTTGTACTCTTGATGGACCCCACTCGTATTTCTAATTTATTTGACTTGGAATCACGTTTTAAAAAATTATTATTTTTTCATTTAATATTGAATGTGACAGAAAGCATAGAAGCTTAAATAAACATTTTAAAATTAAGAAAATAAAGATGAAAAATGAAAAATGTTTTATTTAAAAAAAATATATTAAACACATAATTATTGAAAGGGGAAATTAATTTGATAAATGAGAAATTAATAAAAATCGTGAAATAAGGGAATAAGAAAAGAATTATGGTGAACTGTATGGTTAGGAAAGAACGGCAAAGCTGCGATTGTGACGTAATTCCAGTGGGGTCCACAAAAACATACCCATTCTTTCTTACATCACCCAGCCGTTACCTAACTCACGGTCAACGACGCGCCCCTTCCTGTCATGAACTTGATCCAACGGCTGATTTTACTTTAGATGCGCGCCAACTTCACACGTGTCAATAAAAGAGCTTTCGAAATTCAAGATGCCTTTAGCTTGCTGTGATCGTACATAAAAAATTCAGTTCAACTCCCATGGCTAGAGTACAAGCCAAGTACAGAGCACCAAAGGCCAAGTTCTGCAGGCGGCAAGATCGAAGCTAAAACCTGAGTTTCAGTTTGGAGAGAGAGAGAGAGAGAGAGAGAGAGAGAGAGAGAGAGAGAGAATCGATGGCGAAAGAGAGAGAACTACTCGTTTACTGTGCTAGATTGGCAGAGCAGGCCGAGAGATATGAAGTACGGTTTATCTGTAGAATTTAATTTCGTCATTCGTGGATTATTTGCTAATTCAATTGATTATTACTATGAACTTAGGGATTACTGTTGTTTTGATTGTTTGAGACTGTAAATCCGCTATTAACGTGGTGTTTAATCACTTTTTGCTTTTGCGATTTTATTTAGAGGTCGTCGGAATCTGTCGTAATAATTATATCAAATGAAGCTTAACTATCGGGATTTGTTGGTTGTATGTCGTGGCATCTTGGCGCGTTAATCTAGAAAATCAATCTGGCCCAGAAATTACTGGTTACATTAAGGCATTTTCATTTTCTCACTGGCTGTTTACAATGTTCTTGTCGCAGCGCGGCAATAATTATATGAGAATTGTTTATGCTCATGGTTTCAAAATTGATTGGTTTGTGGAGATCAAAGATGGAGTGAAAATGTGGTCAATCAAGACCTCTTCCTCCGTTCATTGTGTAATACTATTTTCACGCTTCATCTTTTGTATATACTGAATGGTTCGAATCATCATCTTTCCATGCTTCAGAGATGGTTGAGGAAATGAGGAAAATTGTGAAGTTAAACGTGGAATTGACAGTGGAAGAGAGAAATCTGCTTTCTGTTGGCTATAGGAATGTAATAGGAGCTAGACGAGCTTCATGGCGCATTCTGTCTTCAATTGAACAGAAGGAGATAACCAAACATAATGAGAAGAATGTGGAACGGATAATTGAGTATAGGCATCGGGTAGAAGATGAGCTCTCTAAAATATGCAATGACACATTGTCAAATATTGACCAGCATCTCCTTCCAAGTTCATCAGCTGGAGAATCTACTGTATTCTACCATAAGATGTGAGATTCATAATGCTTTACTTTAACTGAAATGTAGAAATGATGAAATCTTTAATATGCAGAACTTTGGACGGTTGGATAATATGTTTGTTCATTGCGAATAGGTTAGATTTCTAATCTTTATTTGCTTCATTAAGGGGATTTCACTCTACTTTTTTCGTTTCATGCTATCGCTAAATTACTGTTTTTATTGTTTGCAATAATCTATTGTTTGTTCTAAATTTGTTATATTTGATACTCTCTCTAGAAGATAAATCCCATAAATCTGCAGTTTATATATTGATGTTGGTGCAATCCATATTCTTTCGTCAAATGATTATCATGGTTGTTACCATTTTTTCTTCTCGATCTTCTGCTACAGGAAAGGAGATTATTGTCGGTATTTGGCAGAGTTTAAATCTGGTGATGAGCGTAAACAAGTTGCAGAACAGTCATTAAAGGCTTATGAGGTAAGTCAGTTCCTTGTATTCCCGGAATAGCATTTTGTGTTGCTTTGTTATCTTTTCATTCCTTTTCCTATATCTATTTTTGTGTTCTAAAATTTCACAAATATGATATTAAATGTTTTCGTGTCGTAGGCTGCTTCGACTATTGCTAACTCTGATTTGCCTCCCACTCATCCTATAAGACTTGGCCTGGCTCTGAACTTCTCTGTTTTCTACTATGAGATTTTGAATTCCCCTGAAAGGTTAACATCTTTCCCTCACTTTTATTATTGAACATGGTAATTACTATAACAAAACGTTTCTTTTAGCTAGGAGTCACTTCCATTCCCAAAGTACAAAGCAAATGGGAAAGTTCAAGAATCCTATTTATACTCGTTTTACTTGTTTGGTCTTTATAAAATTACCACTAATTTGCGTCTTGATGAGGGAAGCCTTACTTCATCATAATACTATGAGATACTTTTCGGGGACTTTGCTGCACCAGGAAAGGAAGCAGTTTACCATCCTCAACGTTTTGTTGAGGATTATTAAAAGGAGTAGTCCCACGTTAGCGAACTAAGAGGTTGATCATGGGTTTATAAGTAAGGAATATAATCTCCACTAATATGAGATTTTTTGGAGAAACCAAAAGAAAAGCTACGAAGAAACCAAAAGGAAAGCCATGAGAGCTTATGTTTAAAGTTAACATGTTCTATTTTCTCTTCTTCGGTTTTATTACTTTCAATAACGTCGTATCCTTTCAGGGCTTGCCACCTTGCCCAGATCGCCTTTGATGAGGCCATTGCAGAACTTGGCAGTCTCAATGAAGATTCCTACAAGGACAGTTCCCTCATTTTGCAGCTTCTCAGGGACAATCTAACCCTGTGGACTTCCAATTTGCCAGACGAAGGTGGGGCAAATTCTTTATTTCTGTCTATCTTTTGGTTCTACGTTGCTGTTTTACTCCATAACAATATAGTTTAAGCCATTGATCTTCTTGGTTTATGAGAATCAAATCAACATATATGGTGAATTCATATTCTGAAATAATTAAGGTTTTGTTGTCTCTCGCGTTATTTCAAAGTGTACCAATTGTCATTTGAATCTTGTTAAGTAGTATGAGTTAAACTTTCAATTAGAAACTGAGGTTTCTACTCAGCAGTGGATGACTTGATATTTGTTCAATTTGACAGGAGAGCAATCCAATGCCGATGAACTCTAGAAAGAGGTAAGTTAATCACTGTTTCAATTCTGTTAATATAAGAAAATCCCTGCAATGTTTTTGCACCTTATGTATTTTGCATTCGATCAATACTTAACACATGGACCAGGACCAATCAATCAATCACTAACAACCATTCCTTTAAAAAGAAAATCACTAACAAACATTCTGTTTGCAGAGTTAATCAACATGGCACTTTGTTCCTGTGGTTGAAGAATTGAACAACGGTACATGCAGTAGTTATTAACTATTATTATTGGGGCATGCTGATAGAACAATAGGGTTCACTGACAATTATTAGCTCTGTATTCTCGATCTGTTCCAAACACAACACATGTGAATCTTTTTAGGAATGTGTTCTTGTTTGTTCTTTATTCTTTACTTGCCAACCTGTTTAATTTTCTTTACACCTCTGCTCCCGGGTACTACATTGATTTGTTCCTATTCCCAAGACTGATCATAACATTATAGTTAACCACAAAACATTAGGGGAAAATATCTTAAGACCTTTTTGAAGGATACTAAATGGTGGCCAATGACCTCTAGTTCACGTGGCTAGCTAATGATAGTTGATAGTGTAGGGTTTCCTACATCTGGTATGGCGGGCCTCAATCACATGATAGGAAAAGTAGCTTTAAATGTTAAAAGTAGATTACATTTTTGAAAGATAATGTAGAAGTATCTGCAAGTCTTCTTTTAGAAAGTAACTGGTTAGGTTATTTTATCAAGGAGATTCGACTTAGAGTTATCTTTAGGAAAATTAAAATTTTAACTATTAAAGTTTAAAAGATTCTCGTTTGTTACTGCTTCGACCTATATTAAATGATCAGGAAGGGGCTGGACCTCTCGTGGTTGACTGAAAAATTCAACATTTCATGCCCTCGAAAGGTCACTAATATGTACTAATCTTCGAGACTTAAACCATTGTGTTTTACAAATTTTTTATATATCCAAGACTATGAAGTTAAATGTTATATTAGATATAAGGTGTTTTTTTTTTGTTTAATATACCATTGAAAGTTTGATGTCCTTTTGATTCTTAAAAAAAATCTTATTATTTTTCAATAATTAGTTACTAAATAGGCATAAACTTACAAAAATGAAAACTAGCAGAAGAGGAAGAATTAAATTGAAAGCTAAAAAAGGGAGCTCACCATCTCCCCACTATACGCCCAAATTGGTAATTTCAAGATAGTAATTAACGATTTAAAAAAGCCAACTTCCCATAACAACCGGAAAACGTATAAAAAAACTTACGTTTTGGGTTTAGGTTAACCATCAAACTAATGTTTATTTTAAAGAAACCTATCTTAAACAATAAAATAATAAAATTTAAATCAATGTTAATTGGGATGGTTCAAACCCTAAACCTTAATTAAGCAAATTAAATAAATTTCTACAACATAACTATCTATTTATATCTCATAATTTTCCGCCAAAAAAAGAGTTAAAATCTCTTCCACCGATCCAATCAGAATCGGAAACCAATAGACTTATAAGAAATAAATCAAAAAGAAAAAACCTCTCTACGGAGATTAGAACAGAGATTAGATTTACCAAAAAGAAAAAAAAGAAAAGAAAAATCATGGAATGTACGTAAGTAGGGGAAACCAGAGATGTGAGAACACAAAATCTGGACGAAAGGAAATCCCCAGAGCTTATGGAATTAATATACGCCTCCAGAACAAAGCCATTACAAGAAATCGATCGAAAGATCTCAGCACTTGTAGCCGAAAGGAGAGGCGATCCATGAAATCAAACAACTTCTTTGAAACAAAATAAATAAAAAGAATTAAGAATTGTAGATGTTCGTAACCTACGAATCAACAATGCAATCCCAAAACGAAACCCTAACGAGAGAAACTTTGAGCGCCAAGAACCTGTTCATTCGGCAGTTTATGCTTCTGATTGCAAGCCGGTGATGAATTTATAGAGAGCTATTCAAACCCTAGACGATAGTTTTTGTGTGGTAGTTTCGTAATTGTTGTAAATTTAGGTGGTAATTACTACTTGACTATATTTTTTGTGGGCTAGTCCATGGGCTTGGGCTTGGGCTTGGGCTTGTCTAACTTATGAGTAAATTATGCACAAAATACTAATCGTATCATAAAAAGTTAAATTTTAAAATAAATATAGAATTTGGTAATATCAAATATTGTATTTAAAAAAAAGTACACTTTCAATTTTGATATGCATGCTTTTAACCGGTTGAATTACATTTAAGTTAATCGTCAATAAATGATGTCCAAAATTGAAATATTTCTTTGATCACTCCTTCAAAATTGTCCAAAATTGAAATATTTTTTTGATCACCCCTTCAAAATTCGTTACTCAATGAGCACCGTAAAGATGTAACGACTCAGATCCACTAGTAGATATTGTCCTTTTTGGGCTTTCCCAGACTTACCCTCAAGACTTTAAAAATGTGTCCTTATGGGACATCACAATCCACCTCCCCTTGGGGCCCAGTGTCCTCGCTGTCACTCTTTTCTTCCTCCAATTGATGTGGGACCACCCCCTTTAGGGCCCAGCGTCCTTACTAGCACACCGCCTCGTGTCTACCCTCCTTCGGGAAACAACGAGAAGGTTGGCTCTGATACCGTCAAATTGCTTCTTCCTAAACATTATCATTTACTTAGCTCTTGCCATTTCGACCCGAACACTATCCAGCTTTTCTAACCATTCAATTTTTGTCATTTCATTTTGGCTCACATCAACCCGTTCGGAATACAAATTTAGTCTCTGGATTATCCCCATAATTCGAAAGTAACAGTTGAATCAAAATCTTCTATACCACCATGACAAAATTAAAGTTCATAAGACATTCTTTTTTTATTTCAACCGTCTCTGTCTCTGCTCACAAATAGATCAAAAAAATTGAAATTAAAAAACAGGAAAACAACCTGAAAAGTAAAACCAAACATGAAGACAGACATAATCCTTGGACTACAAGGTTTGGTAGTCCTTCCATGTAATAATAAGACAATATTACACATTAAGAACTTCAAATTCACCTTCAGAAAGATATCAACCAATATAGACACGATCGGCCTAATGAAATTTACAGATACAGTCTTCGTCCCACTCTTTTTATCGTCGATAAATCATCAAATCTTCGTAAGGATTACCCGAAACACGTATACTTACCTTGTTGGCCTAATCCGTAACTCAGAAAATCTTATTAGAGGTATATACTGAATCTGGAGGAGGGGTAAAAAATTTAAAGGCTAAAATCACCTAAATCTAACCACAATGCATGATATATCATCTTTACTCTCTTTCTGCAAAGCCTCAGTTATTAACTGCTTAGCAGCCTTCAATGGGTCTTTGATTCTTCGAGCGATATCAACCGCTTCTTGATTCGCCATTACCTGTTTCATTCACGTTCATAAGAACATTTGTAGATATGAAGAACAATGCAACAGACAAAAGGGATGGAAGCGCACCTTCCATAGACCGTCACTGGCGAGAATTAATACGTCCATGTTGGCATCTATAATGATATCTTGTATATCGGGATCCGATCGCAGGTGAGATTTGAGACTCTTGTCTCCAAATGCTCGTGACACTGCTAGCTGACCATTCACTCGAGGTACGTCTCCTGATTTTTATAAGAATTCAATATAGGAACAGGAAAAAACATGAGTTCAAATGTTGGACTGACCTTGACTTCGACTACTCGCTGTTTCAATGTTGGGTACTTGAAACAGTTTGAAATAGAAAGTACTCGTTATCGGTTTCGATCATTTAAGAATCATAAACGAGGACGAAAGTAAGACGACTCTGTTTCTTGGAGCACTAGCTTTTCATGAGATGTCAAAATGAAAGTTTCTAAATTCGATTCCTACATTGATATGTGTCTAAAGTCTTGGCGATCGTTAGTTCGACACGACTCTAGCAATAGCGAAGAGTGACCAACCCAAGCTAAACAGATTTGTCCGATAAAAGAACGTCCCAACGAAAACAAACAATTGCATACTATGGCACAAGTACAAAATATAAGTGGTGAAAAATTTGGATATCGCTCGGTACTAGATACCGATGACAACTTCTAACAAGATATAGTTTACCTGGCATGTTCGAAACGAAACCCCCTTTATTCTCAATGATGCCACGCTCCGTACTCGGCTCATGGTCGATGCTCATCTGTATAGCTTCACCCCCTCTTGAAAGAACTGCACGAGAATCTCCAACATTGGCCACCCATAATCGTCGACCGTTAATCAGAATAGCATTAACTGCAGTTGATCCACCACGACCCAAGTCGGAGCTGTGGGATAGAATGGCTTGGTCTGTCTTCTCATAGGCTTTCGAGATGGAGCCGTTGGGATCGACCCAAAACTCGTCCTATAATGACAAAAGTGAAAGTAAAAACCAGACCAAGAGAAGCCATATGAGTACTCAGCTTAGCATCCTACCTCCTTCAGGATATTAGAAAACAAATGCTTTTGTAAATAGGCAGGCACATTTTCTCCTAAATGGCCATCGTAAATGGCAAAGAGCCCCAGTTCATGTTCTTGAATCTGAACAAACTTAGCAACATGGTAATCTTCCATGGGATGATTAGCTTTCCCTTTTACCAGGCAGAACCCGTACTTGATAAGCCCCTCGTGGCTTCTTCCTTTACCGTAGTTTAACGCCGATCTAATCTACACGACCAAGTTGTCAACAAAAGTATAAGAATCTAAAAACAAATTCACTCGAATCACAGTTCTTGCAATTATCAGGTCGGTATTATTCTTTTCGATTAGAATCGACTCTCGTAGTTGAGGATTCGTTGGTTGGGATTGTTTTTTGTATGGTCGTGTACCTTCTTGAATTTCTCTCAATAAAAGCTCGGTTTCTTAATTCTTATCCAAAGATAAAAAAACTACTTATTCGACTTAAGATAAGAACCCCGCCAATAGCCATGGTCCGTTGAGCAGTTAATCATGCTCTAGACGTAGGGCAATGGTTCATCCACCAAACTCAAGGTTCTTGTCTCTTTATAACTCAATAACAAAGTTGTACGACCTATAGAATAGATCCTGTTCGAGCAAGGTCGTTGCACCATGCATAATTTTTTGTTTAGATTCTACAGCCTCAGGTCCATCGAGCAGTTAATCACGCTCTAGACGTAGGGCAGTGATTCATCCACCAAACTTAAGGATATTGACCCTTTAGAACTCAATAACAAAGTTGTACAACCTATAGAACAAATCTTGTTCGAGCAAGGTCGTTGCACCATGCATAATTTTTTGTTTAGATCATCTACAGCCACGGTCCGTCGAGCAGTTAATCACGCTCTAAACGTAGGGCAACGGTTCATCCACCAAACTTAAAGGTTCTTGACCCTTTAGAACTCAATAACAGAGTCGTACAACCTATAGAACAGAT